ATGTTTAGATGAGACATTATTTCTTTCATTGTGCTATTCATTCATTACAGGAATTGTTAAGCATTTTTAATAAATACATTTTGAATGAAATTATCATTTGTTATTGGAGTTATTGCTGTTGACTTTTACTGAAAAGCATTTTTAATAAATCTACTGTAAATATCATGTTATTGTAGGATTACAAGCCACCCCCCCCTCTACAAGGTGTCCTGGTTTTCCCAAATGGAAATATGGTCACCCTATCTAAAGGCCATTTGTGTGGTTTTTCAATGAGAAAAATTAAATAAATTGTATAGCTTCCGCATTTACTGAATTTTATTACTGTACCATGCAAGTTTCATTACAATTTTTAACAAGTCTGAAAAAAAGTTTGAAACAAATGGTTTCATAGAACAACAACATAGAAGGTAACTGCATAGGCTACAGAAAATTAAAGCTAGCCTACGTCTGTTTGGTGTTGCGAATCTGCTGCGCCGCATTCAGAAAATAACTTAACATATTTATCCATGGTTCCCTGGATCAGAGTGTTGTCCAACAGCGAGTTCACTTCTTCTTCAAAACAATGTAAAAGGTCAAAGTTTTTTTAAACCAACATGCAGGAGACCAGTCTTTAAAATGCAAACTACATTCCTCATCTCAGCTCTGGAAGGGACAAAAGTATCCTCTCCTTATCCTCATCCTCCTCCTCATCATGGCATTTGTTGTGAGGAGCCATATGCATCTTCTCACCCCTGATATAGAATGTTTACTGCAAGCTGTTTTAGGGATGTCTTTTTTAATTTTTACTAGAGCAAACTAGTAAAAAGAAATACATTAAGACCCAACATATTGTTAACATATGGAACAAGAAATAGAAAGACAACTTTTATTTATAAAAAATAAATATCTGACAATATTCAATTACCAAAATCAAAACAAGAGAGGGTCCAATTTATAGCTAGATGTATCTAAGAACTAACTTGGGAAAGGAAGGGTTTAGTGTAACATTAGCAGCTAGACATGTCATTCTTGGTAATAGTTGTCAATAAGGAGAAATAATTGTTTGTGTAGCCTACAGACTTTGCAAATCCTTTTTACGTTTTATAAGCTTCATTTTCCTACAGGCTGTCATAGCAACCAGCTTTGCATGTTCGGGAGATTAGACCATTACCCATGTCTCAAACAGAAAGCCTTTCAGAGACTGGTTAGAGCATCAGCACTTTCTACTGCAGTCCTCAGAGAAGCATCATGATGGAGAAGATCTTGTTGGGACTTTTGTTTCTTTTAGGTGAGTGACTTCATGTTTATCTGTTTGTACCTTTGTAGAAAAGCATCCCTATATATTAAAAAATAATATTTTTAAATACAACCTTCAGACTGGGTGTTCCTCTCCACCTGCCTCCTTCCCCAGTTCTATTTTGTTAATAAATTGTTAAATTGGACTGAAGCTCAGACCTACTGCAGACAGAAGCACGCAGACCTGGCCACCATCCTAAACTCTGAGCAACAGAACCAACTAATCAACACTCTTACATCTGCTGGACACAGCTCTGACGTCTGGATTGGTCTGTTCAGTGAAATCCACTGGAAATGGTCCGATGGTTACACTGGGAGTGGAGCTGACTACAGAGACTGGCATATAAATGAACCATCATGGTATAACCTTAATGACTTATGTGTCGGATCACACAACTATGGGGAATGGTTTGATGCTCCCTGCACAGGAAATCGTCAGTTTTTGTGTTACAAAGGTAAAAATATGAATAATGACTTACTATTCTTTAAACCATTATTGTAAAACTTGGAATCTCTGCTTAACAATCTCCTACATTGTCATCACCAACAGGCTCACACTTGGATCCTGAATTTGTTTATGTGACTACTACAATGTCCTGGTCCAATGCACAGTCATACTGCAGAAATAACTTTGTTGATCTGGCCACCATAAAAAATGACACAGAGCACCAACGAGTCCAGAGCCTAATACCCGGTGGCCAATATCCATGGATTGGTCTATATAGAGATGCAAATCTTCACTGGTCTGATGGGAGCAGCGTCCTCTTTACTAGCTGGGATTCCTTTAGTATTGTGATTGGCTCCAGGAAAGTCATATGTGGTGCTACATCTACTGGAATATCAGGAAGATGGAAAATTGTTCCCTGTGAAACAAGATTACCATTTGTCTGTTATGGTCCTCCTGGTGAGTGTTTAAAAATCAAAAGGAGAAAAAAAGAAGCTGCATTACATACCAATCATATGAACTCAAAATTTGTCCTGATATCTGGCACTTAGATATAGATATCCTTCTTTACTACTGTCTAAAACCTTTTGTAAACTTGGTGAAGAAAATCCCAATTATATCTTATCTATTAATTATTTTCAACGGCACTGATGGCTCATTTTTTGTTTTTTTTTTAATGTATAGTAGACAAGAAATCCCAGTGGTGCCTCAATTTAATGTAACACCATTCACTATTCCCCTATGAACAGCACCCAGATTCTCTGACCTACACTCTATTAAATACACACCTATGACCTCATGAGCAATGAATGTGGTAATGGACCATGGGTGGCATGCGATTAGAGTGTACAACTGATCACATTGACAAGACTAAACTCACCTTCTATACAACTGAAATCTAGGTGTGGTTAAACTTTAACCTAATAGTAGTGGTCAACTAAGTCCAATTTATTGAACCGTACTGGTTAAAAAAACAGGCCAAATGTAGTGCACTAAAACAATGCAAATTTCATTTCCAAACAAGCAATATTATTAATAGAAAAATAACACAAAAAATATCCCACCCGAAACTCAAATATTTACAATTGCAATAAACTACAAATGGATTGTTACCAGAATAGTTAGCACAATTTTCCAAACTTCAGGTTCACAGAACCACACATTCCCTTTGAACAGAAGAAAAGATAATAATATAAGATGGATTTTCTTTAAAAA